TTAAATAATATAGGGCCACTCCATGCAGATCTGGCCCCAGATTTTGAAATCGGTCCCCCAAATTTACGCAGATCATTATTAAATGACTTCTTCTCACTTATCGTTATTATTATCACACATAGTTCCGGTCTTCTCTAATAACTGACAATATTACCGATTCCGTTACTCCCACCTCCACAGAGTGGTTGCAGCCTCTGTCGTAGTTTTTGAGTCGAGTCCATAAAGCATCTGTACAGTACATTCGTGGCTAAAGCTGCCGCATGCACACGACGTAATATTATAAGTTAGTTTTACCCTACTAATATAACGAGGATAGCAACAGCAACAACCATAACCACCAGAACAGCAGCAGCAACAACAACAACAACAACAACAACAACAACAACAACAACAACAACAACAACGGCGACAACAACGGCGACAACAGCGACAACAACGGCGACAACAACGGCGACAACAACGGCGACAACAACGGCGACAACAACGGCGGCGACAACCATAACCATAACCACAACTACAACAACCACAACGACAAATTGCAACTACCAACTATGCCGTCTCCCTATAGAACCTTCTTTACGACTAATGTTGTCATTCCTCTAAACGATTCAGAAAATGACGCTAACGATGATTATGAGAATATCCCTAACATAACCGTGGACGAAACTGAAGACAAAGAGAACACTTTACTTAGAGATCTTGAGGAACTATTCGATGAATACGCAAACAATGAGCTTGTCCGCGAGACATACTTATCACTAAAATCGTTCTTTACAACTTCAAAATGTCATTGTCGGGACAAAAAGAAGAAGTGTTTTGATATAGTAGGATTTCGTAGATTCTTCGAACGCCATTTGCAGTTTCGGGAACTGAGTCGTGAGCAGTTGGATAACGTTTTAATGGGTCAGCTGATGGCCTTTGACGAAATGGAAGCAAATAGTAAACAAAAACGTCCTGCTCTGCGTTACCGCTTTAATGGTCATATCACCTTGTGCAAGGATACTTATCTAAAGCTCGTTGGAGTGGGTGAAGCAAAGTTGTTAGCAATCCTATCACATCTTAGAAAGACAGGCGTTACCTCGAGAGTTCATGGAAACACAAAACGCATTCCACTAATGTTACAATTAACTATGAACTTGCGGAGGAAGTGAGGACGTATATTACCAATTATGCTTCGGTAAATGGTTTACCATCCCCAGGTCGTCACTTATCCAAAAGTACATCGGCACTTGTTTACCTGCCTACCAGCGAGAATTATACGACAATTTTTGAGCACTTTCAGCAATCAAAGAAACTTACATTTGACAATGAACAAAAAACAATGTCTCGAAAGTCCTTTGTACGCTTATGGAAAGCATTAACTCCTCATATAACATTCTTAAAACCTCAGTCTGATTTGTGTGCCGTCTGTGAAGCACTTCGTTATAAGATCGCGCACATTAATGATCCCCAAAGAAAAGAAGATGTTATTGCGGAGTATAATGATCATCTGCAAGTCGCCAGGCTAGAACGAGAGTACTATCAAGAAAATATCACACAAGCTCAACAAGAATTCTCTAATATTCAGGAAGCTAGTCTATCGTTGAAGTCTGTTGATGGTATGTTACCTTACTTAGTATCATTTGTTAGCTATTACTAGGATTACCATTTACATAGTCGATTTTCACACAGCAACAGCCCATTACTGCTATGACTGGGCTCAAAAAGTGCCCGTTCCACACTCTCCTCAACAAGTCGGCCCTTTATATTTCAAAAGTGCACGTTCAGCTAGTATCTTTGGTGTGACAGATACAGGCCTACCTACACCTGTTCAGATTAACTATATTATCGATGAGGGTGAATTTCCAGTTGGTGTGGCTAAGGGAGCAAATGCTACATTAAGTATGGTACACAATACACTAATCAAAAGATGTCGGGGAGAGAAAAGACTGAAAATCACTTGTGATAATTGTAGTGGGCAAAATAAGAACAACACATCTTTTTTCTACTATTGCTGGTTGACATTAAATGGAACTTATGACTTTGTTGAGGTAAATTTTATGATTCCTGGTCATACCAAATTTATCTGTGACCGTTATTTTGGACTTTTAAAGACTTTATACTGTAAGACTAGAATAAATACAATTGATGATGTAGTAAGGGTTGTTATGCACTCTACTAAGGGTGGAATTAACAAGGCTATACGATACCAAAGTGGAGACGGTTGGACATATTATGACTTTACAAAGTATTTTGTGCCACACTTCCATAAGATTCCACACCTTAAGCAATACCAACACTTTTTATTTAAAAGTAACGAGCCTGGCAAAGTTTTTTGTCGGAAATTACAGTCAACTGCCTATAATTCGACCCCCTTTAATTCGATTTTCCGATAATTCGAACGTTTAGAGCGGGACCCGATT